CCTTGCAAAGCACAATGTTAGCTAAACTAGTAGGAAGCAAAATTAAAATTGCAACCAAACACTCCAACTAGGTCAAAGATGAAAAAACTGCCTTTTGTTGACGATATAGTAATACATGGGCTTGGGAGTGGATTCCTCTTTGGAGGCCAACTGTTTTTGAGGACTCAAAAACATTTTCATTAATATATCTTATATCACATGCTCTAGTCACAAATATGGCTAATTTTTTCCTGTTAATAGTATTTCCACAATTTTGTCAATCGAATTTGGCTGTAGGAGGAATATTCCAAACAATTTTGGAATTAGACAATATAAATTTTGTTGTTGTGAAAAGCTTTTCGACTCCGCATGACTTCAAACTTTTTTTAAGCTGTGTATTGTTGCTTTTTCTTTATAGAGGGCGGGTGCGGAGCCTTAAAATTGTCATTAAGAATGAGATACTTTTTGTGTTATTGACCCAAAATAGAGGAATATTTGTAGTTTTTCTGAAAAAAAATGTGTTCATATACAGATATACTTAATAGGATAACCATATTATATACATTGTACATCGTTAATCAGATAGCATGAAAAATATCAGCAACCATTTATAAGAGAACGAGAAGAATTTTGCCGTAAGTGAATAAAATAAAGTATTAGGTAGATTAAAAAAAAAAAAGATTATTCTCATTGGTGTCCTTTAAATTTTGAGGTTATTCTCTGTTTATCTTGTAAACTTTAAAAATTCATACTTTATCTTTGAACTTTGAATTGTTTTCACTTAACATCTTTTATTATAATTTTTGTTAAAAATAGACAGAATAAAGAGAGGATTAAGTGTGATTATATGTTTTTTTATCTTTTTTTTTAACAGAAAACCAAACAGAAAGCCCACGTGATTACGTTATTCTCTTTTTTTAATATATATTTTTAACAGAAATTGTTACAGAAGGGGGTTAAGTGGAAACAATTCAAAGTTTAGAGGATAAAATGAGAGTTTTAAATTTTAAAAAGTAAACTAAAAATAACTCTAAAATTCAAGGAGACATCAATAATAATAATCCATAGAAAAAGCATCAGCCAGAAAAATATTTTGGATATAATGAATTTCCATACTTATATGTTAACTATTATTATTTTGAAATGGATGATAATGAATTTTCAACCAATTAGTGGACGTTTGGTTTATAGTTTCAGAATTATTCTCATTTTACGTGTATTTTTTATAAAAGAAAAACACTATAAAAAATTATGAATCGTAATTTAAAATTATGAACAAATACAAAAAACAAACATCCCTTTGAGTACTCCTCTGCCGGCTGTCCTATAGTAGTTAAAATATTTCGAAAAATACAAAAAAGAAAAAAGAAAAACCAATTCCTGAACCTGGTCGTAGCACTTGCCACAATTTAACTAGTCAATTTCCGTGCTTCAAATTCAATTCTTGTTTACAGAAGGCAAATAGCATTTGTATTTATGTAAAAAAATTAAAAATAAAATAAAAGGACATATGTTAGATATAATTATGCAAAAAAGATGGGTTTGACCGAGTAACTAATTTTTGTGGGATCTTGCATTACCTAAAAAATTATTGTTAGTACTTTCTACCAAAAAAAATATTATTGTCGGTACTATGGGTATCGATTGATTGATGAAATAACAAAAAAGTTTGCTATATTGAGTAATATTTCCTTCATAATTAATACTTATATTTACTACGTCAAGTCAAAGAAATGGACCGAAGGAACATTACACGAACATTTCAGAATTTCAAAGATTATTAACAGGCAAATTTGAAATTGAAAAGCAACATAAAATAAAAGTGACCTAATCTTAGAAGTTTTCATCAATTATAGAGGTATTGTTTAAAAAATTTATGTGCACTCCAAATTTAGTGTTTCATATAAGGTAGGTATATTTTCCTAAAGCGTCATTTAAATTCACTCGTAGAATCGATTATTTTAATGATTAAGATATCTTGTATTTTGAGGTTACTCGCGTCAATTGCATCATTTCTATCACTTTTGATGAAAATCCCTCTTAAAAAAATAATAATTTGACGATGTTTATAACATTAAACAGTAGAAGAAAAAAAGGGTTATTTTATTGTCTTTTAAACGTACATTTGTTTCATTTTAACTGTTGATATTCATTTTTAGATACTTAACTACATATCGCTTATAAAATATAGAGGACCGATAATACATTATAAATATGAAAAAGTAATATAAGCACCAATTCATGTACATAGTTATGATTATAAGAAACACGACTAACAGATAATCGATTTCATAAGTAAATTTAAAAAAAAAAAAACTCAAAGAAAAATAATATGTACTAAACGTCACAAAAGGAAATCACCCAAAAAAATACACTAAAAATTGAGCATGCATATATCTCTTTAATAAAGCATCTACAACTGACGAAATTTTTTTTATCAACTAGTCTCGAGAAATATATAGAATGAAGGCTACGTAAAAATTATAAAAAAACATATATCGCAGACAAAAACAATAACCAAACACTAAACAAACAAATTAATTACCAAAACTAATCAAGATAAGAACTATCGTTATTACAAATGGAAGATAAAAAACACACAAGACAAAATATGAAAAAACCAAGGAGAGTGAAGCCCTTCAACGCCAATGAACCAAAACGACAGAAAAGACGAGAAGTTGGTAAACATACATGCGACAACAACAAAGAACAATGTGTGTGCCATAATAGGACTACTCAACTCCTTTCTCAAACCAAACCCACCACAAGGTAGGTCAAGACGAAGACTAACAGTAAGAGTGTTCATAGATTAGAATCCGTAGATTAATGGTCAATTCGCAACTCAATCTAAAATTATCGGATTGAGAAAATCCCAATCTAAAACTTTTTCTAATTTAATGCAAAATCTATTAGATTTTACGGATTAGATTTATAGATTTCACAGATTAAGACCTCTAAAGTTAATAATTATATTAAACATCTATACGAAATCTTTATTATTTATCAATATTACTTTATAATTCAAAATTTGTAACATCATAACCTTACATAAAATTGTTCAACAAATTTTAAATTGTTACTAGACAAAATAGATTCTCCAAGACTCTAAAATGAAATCTCTATTGTAATATAAATGGACTGGGTAAGAGCTTGATAATATAAGCTTGCCACTAAATATGAATATTACATATACAAAGATTTTTTCAAAAAAAAAAAAAAAAAAACTAAACTTAAAAAAATTATCTATAAAATACAAAATTCAGATTGAAAAATACTCATACACAAACCAATCTAAAACTCTCCGATTGAGGAAATACACAATTTATTATGATCTTGTATTTGTCTATTTATCATTCTAAATAATTGGATGCCATTATGATTTTTTATTTTTTCTTTTATAAATGAAATGATAATTATTTATTTTTTAATAGAGTGATATACATATTATTTATTTACCATTTTAAGTAATATTTTTAATTTTTTTTAATTTTAATATTATCCTATCCAAAACTTTTTTAATCTAATCCAAAATTTCAAATGGGATTGGATTTCACATATTAATTGATGGGTTGCGTGAACATCTGTAATTATTCATTAATAAATACAAATGATATTTCAATTTTAAAAGTAAAAGAAAAAAAAAGTTAGATGAAAATAAACCAAACACCAAGGGTGCGTTTGGAATTAGTTCCAAAACGTTTTTGTTTTTTGTATGAAAATGAAAACGAAAACATTTTTATTTTCATTGTGGAATCATTTCTGAAAATGTGTTTGGTAGTTTTATTCCGAGATTGTTTTCAATTTTAAAAAAACTGAAATTGTATTTGGTAGTTTAATTTTTAAAAACATGTAATAATATTTAAACTACTAATATATTAAATAAACATATCAACCCATTTCTTGACCTCATCAATCAACCCAAAAATGGGGCCTAAAACAAGAAAAAACGAAAACCCATTTCTAGATGAGGAGGGGGTGGTTAGGGGCAACGAGGTCGAGGCGGGAGAGGAGGGAGAAAATGCGGAGACGAGTGGGGGGCAGAGGAATTTGAGTTGATTTTTTGATTGAGATTCGATTACAGCTTGGAATTGGAAGAAGAAGAAGAAGAGCAAGTTGCGACTTGGGGCTTATATTACGATTACAGCTTGGGTGTGGGGGTGGGGGGTGCAGTCAGAGAAGAATGGTCCATCGGTCGGGGAAAGAAAATGAAAATGGAAAACTGAAAACGATGTTCAATCGTTTTCAGTTTTGCTGAGTTTTTATGAATAAAGTAAATAACATTTTCATTTTCTGTTTTTCAAGAAATGCTGCCAAACGGCTCCCTCAGAGCATTTTCATTTTTTGGTTCTTGGAAAACGTGAAAAATGAAAACAAAAACAGAACCAAATAGGCCTCAAATGTCTGTACTTAAGGCCTTAAGAGTGTGTTTGGTAGGAAAGAAAAGTAGAAGGAAGGAAGAAGGTGGAGAGATTTTGGGAGGGAAAATGGAAATGTAGATTGTTTGATAGGAGAGAAAAGATAAAGGAAGAGAAAATGGAGTGAAAAATAATACTTGTGGGCCCCACTATTTTTTTTTCTTTCCACAAGTGGGCAGAAAATGGAATAAAAAATGGGGACAACTCATTAAAATGAGCAAAGTTACTAAACTACCATTTTCTCCATCAACATCCAAGCAAAAAATCTAAGGGTATAAAAGTAATTTATAAGTAAAATTTTTTCTTTCCTCTCAATTTAACTTCCAATACCAAACAAGTGAAGGTAAGCTCATTTTCTTTCCATCTTCTCATACCAAACAACATAAAACAAAAATAATTTCCTTTCTATCATTGCTATTTTCATCACTTCCATATTTCTTTTCTATCATATTTTCTTTCCTTCCTACCGAACATAGCATAAGGTAACCCTCTCCCCTCACACGTGTCCACCAACTACAGCGTCTTTCCTTCTCTTATCATACACTCGCGACTACGACTATCATAAGAGCCACTTTCTCTCTCCTCTCTCTCTCTCTCTCGTCTCTGTCCGTATATATAAATTCTCACCTAAAAAACCCACGCCGTCACTCTGAAGCCTGAGAAAGCCGCTCGTAGCTTCGCCTTTTGCCCTCGCTTTCTCTCACTTCTTCTCACCACCATCGCAGCCGTCGGACGCCGCCGACCACCCTGCGCCGACGAAGGGAATGCGGCAGGCCCACGCGCTCCCATAGGATTCACTGGAGTTCTCGATACCGCTGTCGGTTTATCGCCGGAAAGCTCAGATCAGGTGTTCCGACGACCTAGGGTTTAATAGCCGAGTTCGAATCGAAAATGGCTTCGGAGGATGTTAAGCAGAGCGAATCCGCGGTCTCGACGATCGTCAATCTGGCGGAGGAGGCCAAGCTGGCCAGAGCTCGGGAGACTGTGGTGAAGGCGCCGAACTATGCTGTCCTCAGCATTTGCAAGTCTCTCGTCGCCGGTGGAGTCGCCGGAGGAGTGTAAGTTCCGGTCTTTGTCGATTATTGCTTTGTTCGCTGATGAAATTTGAGGTTTTTTGCCCCGGAAAATTGCGGCTGAAGTTTTCTGTTTTCTTATTCGTTTCAGTTTTATTTGTTGATTATGGTGGTGAGGAAAATATGTGGTGTTTCTTTTAATTTCTGGTGTAACATCGTTGACGGGATTTTTTTTGAGGTCGGAAATGGATTTTTTGTTTGGTTTTTTGGTTTAGCCGTTTAGGGTTTATTGAATCTTATTGAATTTAGAATGAGAGATGATAAGTAAGATCTCTGGAGTCTTTACCGCTATGCCTTCTGTATTGTTGGAACTTGCTCATGAAAGTTTCTGATTTCCACTTTGCTTTGACAAATATTTTTTAAAGAGAAAATGTTTTTCCGGTTGAGATTTTAAAATTTTTAATAAATAGGGTGCTCTTGCATCAAGAAAATATTAAATGTGGAATCAGCTCTAAGAAATGACTTTTGACCTTTGACTACTGATTTTCTTTTTCTTTCTTTTTGAACTTTAAACTTAACTGTGAACTGGTTGATCTAACAACTGAAAGTACTGTGTCATTTTATCCTCTCTTTTTTTTTTGTGGGTGCGCTTTTTGGATGTCATTGTTTACTTGAATTAGTTTCCCTGGGGGTTGAAGGCAACTACTTAGTTCAGTTTTTGAGGGTTTTCTCTAATACGCCGTGCAGGTCTCGCACAGCCGTTGCTCCTTTAGAACGTCTGAAGATATTGCTACAGGTACTTTCTTTGGTAGTTTTATTTATATACATTCATACATACACATGTATGTGTGTGCTATATAGTGTAGCATTCTTTATTTTGCACATCCCCCTTTTTATACACAACGCATTGATTAGTTCATATACTCTTCAGGTTCAGAATCCCCATAACATAAAATACAATGGAACAATTCAAGGCCTAAAATATATCTGGAGAACTGAAGGTTTCCGTGGATTATTTAAAGGAAATGGAACCAATTGTGCTCGTATAGTCCCAAACTCTGCTGTTAAGTTTTTCAGCTATGAGCAAGCTTCTAAGTATGTTTTCTTCAAATTTCACTGCCTTTTTTTTTTTTTTTTTTTACTTCTGTATGAAGTATTATCATCAACTTGTTTATGTAGCTACTGGCTAAATGTTTGAAATGCCATTTTTCGTGGTGTGAAATCCTTCAATGGCATATGAGTGTGCTCTGTCGGTTTAGACGTTTAGGCTTGCATAATGTCATGTATGGAAACGAAAGTTGTTTGTTATCCTTGAGATGCTATTCACAATTGATTCATCAAATAGGGGAAGTGATTTTTGTGTTCCAGGAATCTACTTTATGATGTCTGTGGGATACGTGTTTATCACTTTATATTAAGTGATGACTGGGACTCATAGCCGTCTAGGCATTTAAATGTTTCATTTTTGTGTCTGAAAACAAAAAGTTCATGATTTTACTGTGTAAAAATGGTTTGAGCATATATAGTAATTTGCATAGTTCTTTAATATTAAACACAGTTTCACTAATTTAGGTATTACTGTAGAATTGTTGATCTCTATCCATCTTTTTCCATATATCTTGTAGGATAACTCTACTTTGCATCTTTAATTTTCATTTCCTTCTCCCTTCTTATGATCACTCTTTGCCAATTTTTACAGCGGAATATTGCTTTTGTATCGTCAACAAACCGGCAATGGTATGTTGAGCTTTAGAATATGTCATGTCTTGATGCTTTATGTATTAATTTTGTGGTTCTCGTAGTTTGAATATTTTCTGGAAACTTAGGTTAGCTTTTGACACATTGCTTCTAGTCTCCCCACTAAAATGCTACTAGGCTAATTCTGAAATTCTTCTTGATTTTCTATTTAGTTTAAAGTAACATAGCATTTTATAAGTTAAGCTGGAAGTTGAATTCATATTTTCTTTTCCACATCATGGGTCTTTACTGTTCAATACCATATTTTTAGCTAGAAGTATTTTTCCTTTTAGCTTGTTATAGTGTTACCCATCAGCCATATCATAGGTCCAGCCTATTCTGGCCTTAAGATTCCCCTCCCCAGTGCTGGCTGAGCCAGGTTAGGCTTTTCTTTTGTTAGGCCGGGCATAGGCCACTTATGGGTCTGGTCCCTTCTTGCACCTCTTACTGGAACATAACTTGTTACTTGTTAGAGATGATAATGATATAGCTAAAATTATCTTATGTCTGTCCTGAATTTCAGGCATCAGCCATGAAGATTGAAATAAGGTGTTACGTGGGAATATAGTTTTTTTCTAAGTCATCTTTTCCTTTTGTGTGCAGAGGATGCTCAGCTGACTCCTCTCCTACGACTTGGAGCTGGAGCTTGTGCTGGTATTATTGCCATGTCCGCAACATACCCAATGGACATGGTGCGAGGAAGAATAACCGTGCAGGTACTAATTATGGTCACTTCATTCCTTTGATCTGAAGGGAACATATATGGCTTGTATCCTGTACACGTCGGAGAAGATATCTATCGAAGTTTATTTTGTTTCATTTTACCGTACCACATGGGAATTGTTTTGATTTAAGGTGCTTAAGTTTTCGTTTTGATCCATTATTATTAGGGAGTTATAATTTTCTAGCTTCTGTATTTCACATGGATTGATTTTCTTTTTTCTGTGACTACACAGACAGAGAAGTCTCCATATCAGTACAGGGGAATGTTTCATGCTCTATCAACTGTGCTTAGAGAGGAGGGTCCACGTGCTTTATACAAAGGCTGGCTTCCTTCGGTTATTGGAGTTGTAAGTAATTTTTTCTCTGTCTTCTAATCATCTATGTTTCACCAACGTACTAGAATAAAAGTAAGAAAGAAACAAAAGCTATGAGGAGTACATGTTAAGGCACACTTGAGGATTGTTGGTGCTCTTTTAGGATTTTCCATCTCTTCCACTTATTATTTTTGGAAGTGAAGCATCTGATATTTCATTTATGTGTTCGCTCTTTGCTTTTTGTTTCCTTAATGTTGTTCTTGGAATCTTGTTAGGTATTAGTTTAGTTATTTTGTTCCATTGCGTTACCAGATCCATATACATATCTTACATTTGGGGTCAACGGGGTAATAGATTAATGCAGCCATTATAATTAGCTAATTGAATTTCAGTCCCCAAGATCCAGAATACCCATCAAACTCACACATGAAATCCCTTTCATTTTCCCAGTTCATTCAGAGGAAAACTTACTCATCTGCATCTTCCCATCTCGTTGAAAACCAAAATACAAGATCTGGTGCCTTTAGACTAGCAACATCATCTATGCAAAATCAATCAGAAGCTGTTTCCCCTTGTTCTAGATCAAATGCATTTTTAGATGCGCTTCAATGGTTCAACAAAGCATCTGAGCTAAGTGTGGTATCTGCCACTGCCATAATTGGGAGATTTGTTTGGTGGAGCCGTGATAGAGAAGCTGTCTATCTCTTTTCAAGAATGCTTGCATCAAATATCAGACCCAATGAGTTTACATTTGGCACTTTAGTTCGTTCATCAATTGCTCAAAAAGATGTTCATGTAGGCAAGCAACTTCATGCATGTGCGACAAAGGTAGGTTTGCATAAAAATGTCTTTGTGGGAAGTGCACTTGTGGACTTGTACTGCAAGTTGAGCGTGATTGAGGATGCCTGTAAAGCTTTTGAAGATACCCGAGTTCCCAATGTTGTTTCTTACACAACTTTGATATGTGGATACCTAAAAAAGAACAGGATTGAAGATGCACATCATCTTTTTAGATTGATGCCCCAGAGAAACATCGTTTCATGGAATGCAATGATTGGTGGGTACAGCCAGACTGGCCACAATGAAGAGGCTTTGAATCTTTTTGTTGAGCTGCTTAGAGAAGGATTAATACCTAATCAGTCTACTTTTCCTTGTGCAATCACTGCAGCTGCTAATGTTGCTGCCCTTGGAATAGGTAGAAGCTTTCATGCATGTGCTGTGAAGTTCTTGGGCAAGCCTGATGTGTTTGTTAGCAATTCACTTGTAAGCTTTTATGCAAAATGTGGAAGCATGGAAAGTAGCCTTTTGGTTTTCAATAAGCTTAGGGAAAGAACAACTGTATCATGGAATGCCATGATTTGTGGTTATGCTCAAAATGGAAGAGGGCATGAAGCTATTATCTTTTTTGAAAAAATGCAAGAATCAGGTTGTCAGCCTAATGATGTCACAGTTCTAGGTTTATTATGGGCATGTAATCATGCTGGTCTGGTCAATGAAGGTTACTCATACTTTAATAGGTTAAGGCGTGAGAACCCCAGCTTGCTAAAATCAGAGCACTATGCTTGTATGGTTGACCTACTCTCCCGCTCTGGACATTTTAGAGAAGCTGAAGAGTTTATTCATGATTTGTCATTTGAGGCCGGAGTTGGTTTTTGGAAAGCATTACTTGGAGGCTGTATGATCCACTCTAACGTGGAGTTGGGGGAGTTGGCAGCACGCAAAATTCTGGCTTTGGATCCTGAGGATGTGTCTTCATATGTCATGTTGTCTAATGCACATTCTGCAGCTAGTAGATGGCAGAATGTCTCAGAAGTAAGAAGACAAATGAAAGAAAAGGGACTGAAGAGGGTCCCTGGTTGTTGTTGGATTGAGATTAGAAACAAAGTTCATGTATTTGTTACAGGGGACAGAAATCATCACCAGAAGGACGAAATATATATGGTTTTGAAGTGGTTCGTTGAGATCACACAAGTGGACGAAGCTTATATATTACTGGCAGATTCTTGAAATCAAAATTTGGCCTCCTTGGGTTGGATATTTATGCCACTGAATGGGTACTAAATAGGCTACGGCACATTGCATTGAGATATAATCCCCCAACTGAGCATATCACTTTGCAGTTGCACTTCTTAGGAAGAGAGCTTTCTGTAAAATGACGTTAGCCTAAACTATTCCCAATTAAGTGAGTTTGTCTTATTCTCCAATATAATTGGATATACTATTCCTTTTTAAGCTTACTTGATAACCCGATGCTTTTGCTATTGAGCCAACAATGACCCCTAGGGAGAGACCTGTCTGTACTATAGATGAATTATGAACTTCTTGCATGATAGGATATTACGTTCACTTTCAATTGCTTTTAGATCAACTTTTGGAAGGTTTGCCAATTTTAATTTCTGTTTTTGTCGAACTTATTCTCAATTGTTTCTTGCAGGTTCCATATGTTGGTCTCAACTTTGCTGTTTATGAATCTCTCAAGGATTGGTTAATCAAATCTAAACCGTTTGGGATTGTTGATGAGAATGAGTTGAGTGTGACGACACGGCTGGCTTGTGGAGCTGCTGCTGGAACTGTTGGGCAGACTGTTGCTTACCCTCTTGATGTTATTCGACGGAGAATGCAGATGGTGGGCTGGCACAACGCTGCTTCTGTCGTTACTGGTGATGGAAGGGGCAAGGCTCCACTTGAATACAATGGCATGGTTGATGCCTTTAGGAAAACTGTTCGGCATGAGGGCTTTGGGGCATTGTACAAGGGGTTGATCCCCAATTCTGTCAAGGTGAGTCTTAATCCTTTTGTTGTTTTCTATTTTCAGGTACACTTGCTTATGAGATCAGGTCTAACTGGTTAATAAACAAATTGAGGTTTAGGATTTTTCTTATTCACCTTTTTTTAATGGAAAAATTGAGGTTTTTCAGTGATAACTAATAATAAAGGTTGGTTGCTAGAAAGTAAAGTTCCACAGGTCACGGTTTCTGAAATCATGTAATCATTTAGCAGATGACCATCTTTTAACGAATAACTCCCATTTTGAACTTTTTACTCTTTGGAATCCTTGATTCGAGTAAATGTTATTCGAGTAAATGTTATTGATAAGAAAATATGATGAATTCATACATTGTTACTGCCCGTGCTAAAGAAAGACATTGTTTGATTTCGCTTCAATCTCGCAGGTTGTGCCATCAATTGCAATCGCATTCGTTACGTATGAGATGGTGAAGGACATTTTAGGAGTGGAGATCAGGATATCTGACTAAAGGAGGAAGAGCTCCATGATATTTGTTTACATGTGTGGTATTTTTGTAGGCAAGGGGATAGAGAGATGGTAAACTAGGGATAATTTCTTTACTTTTTGCCTCTCCGAAGTTAGTAGTTGCGGTTGAGCTTGTTGTTTATAAATTGCTTTCCCTTGTTTCCCGTCTATGTTTCCTATGAGAATATGAGTAGGTTTTCACCTCCCCATTTGATATGTATGCCAATAAATGTTTTGACGCTGCAGAAACTGCCTATTTGATGCTCCATAAGAATTCAGAAATGAATTCCTCTTTATTTATAGTGATCTCATACAACGAGCCTCTTTCTCTTACTCTCTGTCTCTAGTTCGTTGAATTATTACTTTACTAAACAATACATTATCTGATTATATACTTTGTTGAGTGTGAAGTTTTGAGGTGAGCTTTTCTTAAACAAGAGGATTTATGAACATTTTATTTTTTTGGTATGGATAGAAAATTTGAGACATTGAAAAAAGCTAGGCCGGTTTTAGTATGTAGTTTTCTTAGATTTATGTATTATAGTAATAATTACTAATTCTTTGCCAGAAATTGCATGCTACTGGCTTTTCTTTTGTGCCGTCGTTCAAGTATGCAAGCGGGGGGTCCTCGAGGCCAGAAGTGGGGGGTTTTTTCTTTTCTTTTCTTTTTTCTTTTAAAAAAAGAAGCGAACATTAATTGGTCAGAGATAGAGGTGAATTAGGTTGTACAGCACTTTTGAAATATGGAAAAATTTCCACGAGTGCTATGTTTGCATAATTCAGAAATAGAGGTGAATTAGGTTGTACAACACTTCTGACATTTGGATAAATTTTCCACAAAATTGATATGTTTGCATTTTAATTCTCTAAAAGTAGAATGATTCTAAGTGTAGTCTAGCAGAGTACCGGCAATTACACACCAACCTAAAATTACACATAGTGAAGTTGCCTTTTTAAAAAAAAAAAAAAAAATATATATATATATATATATTTTATAGGTTACGAAAATTCATAATAATTATTTTAATGATACTTATGTTTTATGCCACAATGAACGTAGAATTATTTTATAAGTGTGCTATTGCCACAAGCCGGCTCCCACTTTTCTTAGTCGCCACAACAAGCCCTTTTTTGATCCGCCTCCACTTCCTCGCCGCAACAAGCCCTTTGAAGATGGAGCTTAAAGGAAGAAAACCCTAAGGGGTTTCGAAGAAGGTTTTCACTTTTTCTTTTTCTAAAAAAAATAATTTTTAGTAAATTTAGAGTTAGTTTGGTATTATTGTGCCGTTAAAATATTTTTGTTGTTGTTATTGTTGTGCTGTTAATTAAAAGTTATTGTGACTTGTGATCATAATCATGTAGGTGTATATATATATATTTCAAAAATGATATGAATATCAGAAATAAAAATTTATGTGTTTATTAAATTAGGTATAAAATTATTGTGGAGATATATAATAACTAAAATAGACATATTTTAGCACACATAATTATAGTTTCTTTTAAACTAAAATACTAAAAATATATATAACTTTAAATTTATTAGTTAAAATATTTGTAGAAAATAAATTACTAAATTTCTTATTTAATGTTAATAGCTTGAAACATTTTGAAATTATTAAAAATATTTGAGTAAAATTTAGCACAATATATTTGTTACAAATTAGAATTTTTTAAATAAAATATATAAATATATGTTTATTTTGTTATGGAATAAATAAAATAGATAAATTGAGAAGTAAGTTTAATTATCAAAGTTATTTTAGTGACTTAAATCAATAACAGCAGAAGCTGCTGTGTAAAAGTAACCTTAGCATGCTTTTCAAATTATATTATTGAGTAGTATTTTTAGAAGTTGCTGGACAAAAATAACCAAAGACCTGACACGTCGTAACTTCTTAAAAAGAAAAAAAAAATTAAAAGCAGTCTCTAAAAATAATGCCAAACAGATACTTAAAAAAAAAGTCGGGAGATCTTTTTTATTTGTGTAAATTTTTTGGTAAGGGCATGTTAGTCTTTTTGAAGTTCAAAATTGATCATTTATAAAAACAATACGGAACAATCGAGTATAAATTAAAATTTTAAGGTTTACTTCTTTGGGTTTTACGCGAATTCCAGAAATTCCAGTACCCATTTAGAGTTAAAAAAAGCCATTTTTAGTAATTTATGGTGACAACAAAATAATAATGTTGCCTTTTGCATTCATATGTCATTCATGGTTTCCTAAGTTGAGTTTGGAATGTTACCGCAAGCTCATGTTTTTCCAAGTTTCCTCCAACAAGAGTTTGTCTTTTAGTAATTTATGGTGATAACAAAACCACTATTGTTATTATTTCTTTCATTCATATTTAGTCCTTAGTGTTTATTATTATTATTATTATTATTATTATTATTATTATTATTTGGATCTTTGCCTGCATTTATGGAGTTTATTAACTGTTTAGTGCTTATACTTGGCAAAACCGAGATATGAAGAAGCCATGAGAGTGTGAAGGGTGTAATGTGAGGAGAAATGTGGGGAAGATTGTCATCTTCTTCTTGTGTGAAACTGTGTTATTGTACAGAGAGGTTTCAGTAGCACTGATCATATCCTTGAGTGTGTAATTGCTGTTCGATATACTGAACTTGTGACTTTTGGTCCCCGTGGATATGCAGTTCATCTCAAATCTGAACCACGTAAAAATCTTGTGTTTGACTCTTCTATTTTCTTCTTGTGATTGTGCAACTTCGAAGCATTCTTTAATGTGTGGTGTTTGATCAAAAGTTTGTGTTAGATTCCTGTTTTGTTCAACATTTTATATTCAGAGCTTTAATATCAAAGAAAGAATTATCCTAGTAAATCAAGGACTGTTCTTAGATCACACAAGAAAAGATATGCTAGTTAAAATGACATCTATTCTTGCCTCTTGTGGGGTTGGGGACAAACAGGCAACAGTGATTTTTGTTTCTTTTTTCTTGTGTTTTTCTGCTCCCTCCTGTGCAGATTTGAAGATGGTTACAGAGTCATTACCGATCACCGTCATTGCTAATTCATCACTGCGGATTTGGTGCCTCGTTCTTGTCTATCTCTATCTTCATCATCGTTATTCTTTATAAAGCTCATCATCTCTGCTCTTAATTTCTTATTGGTAGAGTATAAGTACTCTTTTTATTTTTTTATTTTTTTTTAAATGATACAGATTTGTAGACTCATTCTAGATTCGTCAACAATCACTGTCACTGCTCATTCATTGCTCTTAATTTGTTACCTTGCCTCCGTCCATCTGTGGGTATTTTAATCAATACTACTCTCATTTGATTGAGCTTTTGCTTTGGCTAGCATGAGCTTGTAGGTATTTGTTAAAGTGACAAGAGTTTACTCCTAAATGTGAATTAGACTAAAAAATGCCCTTCTGAGTGCACTTATAAGCAAAGCACCGATTATAGTTCCATGGTTGAGGGTTTTGTTCTTTTAACGAATTAGATGGTAATGATGTTTGAGTTAAAGAACAAATTAGATGGTAATGATGTTTGGCTGCCATAAGTATATCTTTTGGGAACATTGGTAATGTACACCCCTACGTATGAGAAAATTGGTGAAAGGAACATCGTATCATTTTTGAGTTCACATGTAAGCTTCGTTTGTAGTTCCATGAGCGTGTCTTTTTTCTTTTCTTTTGGGAATTTTGCGCCATGAGTCTCAAGACTTTATAACTCTTGACATTTAAGTCCATATTTTAAGAACTTAGAAAGTGTCCAAACTTTTTTAATCTATTGGCATCGTTAGTCTCCATTTTAAGAATTTAGATACATATGCTGCTGAACTCTTAATTTGTTGACACTATTTATCCGATTTTTAGAATTTGAACACTCATATCCCCAAACTCTTGACCGGTTGGCACTGCCACAAAACTGCTATCCAACCGAGATTCTCAGCAGACAACCATCAGTATTAACGACAGTAATCGTCAAAATACCTAAAAAATATAGAAAAATCACAAATAATACATGTAAAAGCAAAAAAAAAAAAATTTGTTGACACTATTTATCCGATTTTTAGAATTTGAACACTCATATCCCCAAACTCTTGACCGGTTGGCACTGCCACAAAACTGCTATCCAACCGAGATTCTCAGCAGACAACCATCAGTATTAACGACAGTAATCGTCAAAATACCTAAAAAATATAGAAAAATCACAAATAATACATGTAAAAGCAAAAAAAAAAAAAATTGACAAAATCCACAAATCACAATAAAAATAAAAATAAAGAAAAAAATCCACCGAATACCAGTTACCGCCCGATAACCACATGTACAACCAAAATCCACGAATACTGTCGGCGCCGACGATGCTATGAACCAGCCGGTTACCAATCGGTAACTGTCGGTATCCATCTTGGTACTGGTATTCAGCTATGACGACCATCCTGAGTGGCCATCACCGTAACTGAATTTAACTCGTACTTACTGGGATTTCTTAAAATTTGTGAAACATTTTTTTTTATTTTTATAAATGCTACTTAGAATGCTGCAGCATGTTAAAATACTATAGGAATGCTGTAGCATTCTTTTTAAAATGCGGTAGAAATATTGTAGCATTCTTTTTAGAAAAAAAACTTACTAATACGACTTGATTGCGGAAATATTTATGAGCGGTATCTATTCCCATCTCCACCATTCGCCCGCCGCTCACCATTGCCCTTCAAGAATTGCTAATAGGTTTCTTACCTACAGCATGAACATATGTGATTGAGCTTTCGCTCAGTAAGTAGGAACCATCTCTCACAAAATAACTGTAAGTACACATGAATAAATATGCATGAGCTGAAAATCCACGAATACTGTCGGCGCCGACGATGCTATGAACCAGCCGGTTACCAATCGGTAACTGTCGGTATCCATCTTGGTACTGGTATTCAGCTATGACGACCATCCTGAGTGGCCATCACCGTAACTGAATTTAACTCGTACTTACTGGGATTTCTTAAAATTTGTGAAACATTTTTTTTTTTATAAATGCTACTTAGAATGCTGCAGCATGTTAAAATACTATAGGAATGCTGTAGCATTCTTTTTAAAATGCGGTAGAAATATTGTAGCATTCTTTTTAGAAAAAAAACTTACTAATACGACATATGTTACGAATTGCTTTCTTGATCAAATATTCAAATCTTAACATATATGTTTATCAAAGCATATGGATATATATATATATATATATATATACTTACTCCGTAAGTTTGCTCACTAACAACCATAATCCACAAAACCATTTAACATATAGGTTTCGAATCATAATTAGCAAAACTATTTATAACGTAAAATTGATTGCGGAAATATTTATGAGCGGTATCTATTCCCATCTCCACCATTCGCCCGCCGCTCACCATTGCCCTTCAAGAATTGCTAATAGGTTTCTTACCTACAGCATGAACATATGTGATTCAGCTTTCGCTCAGTAAGTAGGAACCATCTCTCACAAAATAACTGTAAGTACACATGAATAAATATGCATGAGCTGATCATACTTAATTATGATGTCTTAGCATAGTCTTATTATCTTATCTTATCTTGCTTACTGATGGGCCCGAGTGCTCGTACCACTTACGCGCAATCATCGGGACGTGAGGGTTTACAAGGTCCCCCATGACACCGTGATTATAACTGAACTGAATGCCTCCCTCTCAGAGGCTGGGGTGACACTCAATTGAGATTATTCTTATAAGTTCCTCTTGACTTATTAAGGTGTATGTAGTATGACATGACATCATATACAATACTTAAAGCATAAACATGCATATAAAACATGTGTAACTTTTTCTTTAAAATCTATTCATACTGTAGGCGAGATTCCTACTTATCTGATTTACAGAGCTAGAATCCACTTTTCACCAAACAGTCTATTATCTTACTTGCTTACTTCTCAAAATGAACACCCATTGAGAGTGTGAGATTATCTGTCGTTTGCTATTCTATTTTAGCAGCTTATGAAGGAAATCAAGCTCTTTACTTAAGGCATGTAATCCTTTCCTTTACTGAAGGATAATTTACTATAAGGATCAATTTATTAAATCCTCACAATCTTATTTTCCTTAATTGCCCTTAACATACTTATGTCTAGATTGAAAATCATTTACTCAATATAGTAACTTATTCTCCATAATTTTCCTCATTGGACAAATTATGGTATTAAGGCCCAATTCGGCCTAGAAACTTATTCACGGCATTCTAACTCTTAGGCCGTTGAAAATTTAAACTTAAACGGGGCTGTTGAACTAATACGGGCATTGGACCCCGCATCTAACTTTAAAATTCTAGGGGCCTAACATATTTAGCTCGCAAGTGCCCATCATGCCCAAAAACTATTAAGCTTTTAAAAGAAATTATCATTCAATTTTATTTTTATAAAACTGATTACTCACTTATTTAGTTACAAGCACTAAAATCCCATTATAAAATCTCTTTTCGACTACCGACTTTTGAAACTATTCCACAAGTCATTTTACGGTTAATTTGTAAACCACCGTGAAACTATGTTGTAGAAACCTTATTTTCAAAATCTTTCTTCACGGGTATTCCTCGTACAAGCGAGGTCTAAAACCATAGTATTTTACTGAAATCATATCTCGGGTTCTTTGATAACCCTTTGTTAAAACCAATTCTGTGTTAGTTTTGTTTAGTTAAAACTGTGTAGTTTCTGAAATCTGTGTTTTACTATATCTTAGGTTCATATTTTAAAAATATGTTTTTCATGATAATTATTCGCCTCGTCGAGATCTAAAATTTTCATTTTTAGAGAAAACTGAAATTCAGCCTCTAGAGGCCTCGTTTGGCTGAAAACAGTGGCTGCAGTTTTTTCCCAAAACTGTGTTAGACTGCCTATCCCGTTTTTACAAAATGGCTTAAAACTTGCATTTAGAGTTAAAATTGGGTTTTGTCACAATCACGAAAAAACGTTCAACACATCGAGAACCATAAGTTTAAACTTATAAATACTAAAAAATCTCACTCTAGGATCCTCATTTTCGCGTTCAAAGTAACCAGAAAATTTTACCTCTAATCCCAAAATAGGCATACTTAACCAACAATAAACATACTACATAATGCTAATCAAACTAACCTCAAAACTCACAAAACTAACTTAAAAATCACACACCCTTATTACAAACCATAGCCTCTAAGGACCACAATTTACATCTATAATTTCAAGCTTAAAGTTGGCTAGAAAAATAATGGAGAAGTGTTCAAGAAATTACCCTTAAAGAACTCTCTCTTGAAAACCTTTGAAATCCTCCTCTTCTCCTCCAACTTAAGCTAAGATTTATGGTGAGATATATGAAAAATTTTGAGTGTATGTGGACTAGAGGAAGGCTCGGTTTGGTGAGGGCGAGTGGAGAAAATTTGGGGGGCTTAGAATTGTAGTGAATCCGGTTTTGGTGCGGAGAAGAAAAGAATAGAGTAAAAGTGAGGCCTAACTTATGATGGCTCTATTTATAGACCAGTTGGTAATCATTTTTAGCACCAAATCAACTCCATTAATCAACTAAATTTTTGGGTTCAAATCCCTTAAGCATGGCCGGTCTAGGTGGGAGAAAAGAAAGGGTAAGTATGCCATGATTTCTCTTCAATCACTACCATCACATCACTTCTCATCATGAAATCTTCTTGCACACTCAAGCAACCAAAACTTTTGCTAAAACCTCCTAACATGGCCGGCCAAGATGAGAGAAAAGAGTGAAAAAGATTGTCATAATTTCTCTTCAACCACTACCATCACATCACATCTCATCCAACCAAATCCTAACCTACCCATTGTACTTTTGTGTAATCTCTTAAATTTCTCTTGCATCAGATAAAATTTATACTGACTGTAGGGAAGTACTTAGCCGACAGAAAATTTTAGTTTCTGACGGTTCCTTTTCTACTGCTAATTTACAGTTCAATATTAATCCCCGACTACTTCGATATTACATTAAATTTTTACTCGCGTAATATTTTGAATTGTTTCAAGTGTTGAAATTAATTCTAGACTGAACAAATTCTAAATTTAGATTTCTGCATTATATCCCAGGAATGACATTGTTTTTTATGGTGTCAACTCCCGCTCACATAGTACCCTTCTACTATAGGTATTTATCTTGTGACTTTAACCTAGCTGTCTGGCAATTAAGGATTTCATCTTCTTTTAAAATGTCAGAGCGTTTTCTTTTTATATGCTGCTAACATCATATTGTGCTTGGAGATTCTTAGAATTAAGATTCTCAAACTATATATGTACTAAAAATTCTTCTGCCTTAGAGTACGGTGAAAATTTATCGATCGAATTTACTTGATCGTAAATCATAAACTTAGCAAGAAATCTGCTACAGAATTTAAGAATACAAATGTTAATTTCATAAATCCTTCAGTCAAAAAATATAACATAGTATTTTCTAAAAATTTTTTTAACTTAAATACATAAATTATATTATTTAAAGTTTAGAATTTTCTCAGTCATTACGCCAGCCCTCTTACCAACTAGCATCCTCTACAATACTGGTTGATAACCGCCAATACCGGTGGCACCACGGTCGTCCAGCCGGAACACTTCAAAAAAAAATCTAAATAATCCACAAATCAATATTAACAAAAGTTCTAAAAACTGTTTCGAAAAAAATCCACAAACATCAGGAAATAAAAAGAATCACAAAATGTTAGATCTGGCCATCTACGTTGCATCGGCTCCTTGTTGCGGCGTCGTTGTCACCGGAGGAATATCGCGCCGTGTTTGGACCCGTGCCGATCCCATCATTGCGTCTCAAGGACATCGCGGCACTTGCAGATCCGTGAGCTTCGGGTGCTTTCCTCCTCTCCATGACGGGCCCACGACCAAGATCTCACCGACGTCTTCGTCGCGGCGTTGTATGGTGTCAGATCGGCACTGCAAAGCTCGAGCTCCTCAATGGCGGGAGCTCGTTTCTTCGTCGACTCCAATGGAGGTCGCGACGGTCGCGATGGAGAGTGATCTCCCCTGAGCTTCACGCCTGAAGATCTTCGCGACGTAGAGATCCGTCGAGGCTTCGTGATCAATAGAGCTTCAGGCCGTGGTGGGAACCTTTAGGCCAATGCTCAGATCGGTTATAGGCCAATCGTGACGGTGGCGGCATGAGCGGGAGGGGCGGAGGTCACGGACGACGACGACTGGAAGAGAGAGAGAGAGAGACGGCTCAAATAGAGAACGTGAGAGGGCTAGTGTATGGGTATTTTGGTCAGTGCATAAATTTCAAGTTATGAAACCGTTGCATATTTTGCAACAGTTTTAGGAGGTGGCATAAATCAATCCACATGTGAAAATTGTGGCAGGTAGCATAATTAACTCGAATCTATGGGTGCCATAGTGGGGCCGGGCTGGCATCACCCTCGCGCGTGACAGTCGCCAATCAGGACCTTCTCCGGCCAAATAACCGTCACTCGTTCTATGAACTACGTGGTCCGGTACTCTCCGTCCAATTAACTATTATTAACACAAAACCATCTCCATAAAGAAAATAACTTATTAAATAAAACACTAGTGGAACCCTTTGATCTGTTTCCCACAAACAGATCCAACGGCCGCCATTTGTTTTCTTCAATCGGGAAGTAATAGGCCCCACTGCTGTCAGTTTCCATTGGGCCACAAGCACTGCGTGGGCCCAATTTCCATACGACATGAGAGTGAATGTCGTCATGTCAGAGATATTCTCACACTGACTCCAAGATTAGTACAGTCATCACTACGTGGCATCCGATCTCACCGTTGGTTTGCAAGATAAAATTTCTGTGGGGCCCACAGTTGAATTCGTGCAAAAAAGTAATATTAAAATGTTATCCAACGTGGAAGCTGCTAATTTGGCGAACAGGTTATTGATATCGTGGACGCACTGTTTGCCAGACATAAGCACATAAACAGCCTCTGACTTCTGAGGACTAAACCAAAAAATGTATAAACGACATTATTTTTAATTTCTCTAAGGAAGAAAAAAACAAGCAAATTTTAATTGTTATCTCATAACAAAATCAATATATCTTTGAGCCTCATTCACTTCGGCGGATTTTGAGCTGAGATATGACAGAAAGCTTTTTAATTGTAACAGACAAAGTTTGATATGCAAAATTTAAGGAGATTTTTGTTGGTGTTAGTTGTCGTTCTTTGGCTAAACCAAATTGTTTGCTATGTAAGAAAAGAAAAGAAGATATTTTTTCTCACTCAAGAGTTTGTGATTCTCCTTGTTTCTAAGTCCCAACAAAAGCTTTTTTTTTAGCTTTTTTGGGTTGGTTTCTCTTTTATAAGCTTAAAGAAAATGCTTTTCACACCCTTTCTTTCTTCTTCTTCATTTCTCTCTCTGTTGCTTCTCTGAATGGTAATAATGCTTTTCTTCTTGTTCCTCTTTTTCTTGGTTTGAGTTTGATTAAGATTGGTGATTGTTTGTTTTGTTTATTCTGATTTTTATCCTTCTTTTTATGTTGGCAATCTTCTAAACCATATAGATTTGAATACTGATGGTTTAAGTGTTAGTATTGCATTGAAATGATGATATTGCGTAAGCAGAATTTTTTTTTTTTTTTTCAATAACAGTAATTGGTTAATTTCTCATTATTTCATGATTTAGAGAGGTCTCATATCAAACATGCCTAAAATACATGTTTAAATTTGTGAAATAAATAAAGGCATTTTTATTCAGTTACAGCAAGTCTAAAGACTGGTTTGTGTCTTCAATTGTGGGAACTCGTATTTTTTATTTGCTATTATTATTCTTTGTGTTGTATATGTAGGCGTTTTAGAGTAGAATCTACATCTGGGTTTCATGGGAATCTGCTGCATTGTTGTTCTAATCTCCAAACTTTTATATTTACACTCAAAATCTGGGTCATGTTCTCTTTATCTTATCAATGAGAAAATTGTTCTTGTTTTAGATCAGCAGGATACTTTTAATGCCTTAATATTTCGACAATATCTATCTTCCTTAACAGTGATTATTCCAAAATTTGATTCTTATAGGATCTTGTAAATGCTGATTTGAAGTCTATGTGGATGAAATGGGTGTAAATGCTGAGATAAGGAGAACAGAGACTTCAGCAAAAGAATTTCATTTTTTTTTATTTGAAGTTAATAATTGGGGTATATATTTTGGACCAAAATTGATGTTTCCCTAGGGTAGAAGCTCTTGACTAGAAAAGTTTTCCAGTGATTATATTGCTATAATGGAGGACAGTGGTTTGAATAGATATGGCACTTCTATTGATGGCGCCAGGCTTGAGTTGAGAATAGGAAACTCTAGGAATCCAAATTTCACTTCAGTAGATAGCCCAAGTAGCTCTAGATAGGATCCATGGCAAATATCAGTATGATTTGTCAAATGGGTTCATGAGTAAAGATTCACATGGAGATTTTGTGTCCCTGGACAAAGATCAGATTTTGTTGAGAATCAAAGGGGAGTTCAAGATGCAGAACACGAGGCGTTTGTCAAGTAAGCCTATTGGACAAAACCCAGATGAAGTTTCTTCAAATCCAAGAGTTGATGATGACAAGATCATCTCAAACAATGCACTAGTCATTGGCGAAAAACAACTGAAGACTGTATCAAGAGCTAGCTTCTCTCAGCTACCTGTGAAGAAAACATTCGAGGAAAATGGAATCATTAGTAGATATCAAGAAGCTTGCAGTGTAGTTATGGACCAAAATGGTGACAAACTTGGTTATGACGCCGAGGCGTGTTCTTCTACTGCGGATGCAAATTCAAGTCGGGAAAATTATCAGAATTTTTCACCTGGGGTTCTAAGATCTCCTTCTCCAGAATCTCATACCGGTGGAATCAGCTTGAGGGAATGGATCAAATCTCATTCTTGTAATGTGGACAAAGTTGAAAGCTTGGTGATATTTAGGCAGATTGTGAAGTTGGTGGATTTTGCACTCTCCCAAGGTTCTGCCTTGCAGGACTTAAGACCTTCCTGCTTCACTATTTTGCCATCAAAGAAGATTCAATATATTGGTTCTTTGGTCATGATGGAAATTAACGCGATCCATCGAGATGTGAACGAGAAACGACCATTGGATCAGAATGCATTTGGAAACCATATTTCAGGTGGAAAGCAGCAAAAGCTTAGTGAGGCTATGAGATCTCTTAGAAACCAGCATAATAAAATTAAGGAGACTGAACTATATATGGCTGGCCCACAAATTCTCCACTTGCAAAAGGATCCCAGATTATATCGAAATGTGTCCATTGTACAACAACAACAATCCATTTCTACAACTGGTCAGTTAGAAAAGAAGTGGTATACTAGTCCAGAGGAGCTAGATGAAAGAGGGTCCACATCTTCATCAAATATTTATGGGCTTGGCGTACTCCTTTTTGAGGTGAGGAGACATCTTTGAACCGTTTCTACTACTACTAATTTTTGGACTCTTGGTTCTTTGCTCATAAATTTTATTAGTTAACTTTATTGGACCAATTTAAGTTAAACTAAGACATATTTTGTATTAATGAATGCATGACAATATAGCTCTTATGTGAGTATAATATGAATATCATCCTTACAACTAAAGTGGGCTGTTTATATCAGTTGCTGTCCTATCCTGAATCATGGGAGGCTCATTCTGCAGCGATGTCGGATTTACACCGTCGAATTCTTCCGCCAAAGTTTCTTTCAGAAAATCCAATGGGAGCTGGCTTGTGTCTTTGGCTTCTTCATCCTGAGCCTTTGTCACGTCCCACAACTAGGTATCTCAATCTGCATAATTTCATTTCTCTTTTATATTTTCCCTTTCAGTGGCAGCAGTGAATCTTAATCCTTTTTCTTGATCAAACTCACATGTCTAATTTTTCGGTGCGCAACAGAGAAATTCTCCAATCTGAACTGATATGTGGTTCCAAAGATTCAAATCCCAAGGATGTCTATTCAAATTCTGCTGATCGAATTGATCCTCAATTAGAGCTATTATTCAAGTTTTTCAGTTCATTGAAAGATGAAAAGAAAAGGCGCGCCTCTAAGTTGATTGAGGATATAGGGTGCTTAGATGAAGATATTAAGGAAGTTGAGAAAAGGTACTCGTCAAGAACAGTCTTAGTTTCTTCTTCGCAGGAACACAAGGAACTTCCTTGCATAAGTGAAGAGGGTTCTTCTCTTGAATATTCAAGCACTTCAGGTGTTCCTTCTAGTTCATTTCCAGTGTCAGGCAAAAATGAGAATATGATGAAAATTATCACTCAGCTAAAACATGCTTACTTCTCCATGAGATCCCAAAATCAGCATACAAAAAGTGTCCTATCACACTCAGATAAAGATGTAGACAAGAAAGAAGTCAATCACTGCCATGTGCAAAATGGAGATGAAGATTTAAGCATGAATCAAAACTCAGATTATCCTGCTGGATCCTTTTTTGATAGTTTATGCAAGTTTGCTCGCTTCAGCGAGTTTAAAGTATGTGGAACGCTGAGAAATGGGGACCTCTTCAACTCTACCAATGCCATTTGCTCCTTAAGTTTCGATCGTGATGAGGAGTACATAGCTGCAGCTAAAGTATCAAAGAAGATCAAGATTTTTGAGTTTGCTGCCCTGTCAAATGAGGCTGCTGATATCCATTATCCTGTTGTTGAGATGTCAAACAAGTCTAAGCTGAGCTGTATTTGCTGGAACTACTACGTCAAGAATTACCTGGCTTCAACAGATTACGACGGAGTCGTAAAGGTGTGCTTTTATTGCACATGAATAAAAGAATTGTGATTATCTGCACAATATATATATATATATATATATATATGCATTCATTAAAAATTATAAATATATTTTATTTAGTTTTCTACCCTATTTTGTAGGATAAATGTATGATTAACCTGATTTGTTAAGAGTGAGAAGTCTGTGGTTACCTTAGTAAACCAGTAAATTACTGGAAAGTGGACATAAATCAAAAGGACAAGAAGGGGTCCAAAATTTAAGAATTGTGATTATATGCACAATATATATATATATATATATATATATATGCATTCATTAAAAATTATAAATATATTTTATTTAGTTTTCTACCCTATTTTGTAGGATAAATGTATGATTAACCTGATTTGTTAAGAGTGAGAAGTCTGTGGTTACCTTAGTAAACCAGTAAATTACTGGAAAGTGGACATAAATCAAAAGGACAAGAAGGGGTCCAAAATTTAAGCCATTTATGCAAATTCCCCCTTTAAAATTTATTACTTTCATTTGAGAGCATTAATCAAGTTTTTGGTTATTTTACTTGTTTGATAACCATACTATGGTGTGCGTGGATGGAATTACAGATGTGGGATGCAAACACTGGAGAAAGATTCTCTCAATACACAGAACATCAGAAGAGGGCTTGGTCTGTTGACTTTTCTAGAGCTGATCCAATCATGTTTGGTAGTGGAAGTGATGACTGTTCTGTAAAACTTTGGAGTGTAAATGATGTATGCTCTCTCTCTTTTGTCATTCTAACAAATGGTCCAGTTTCTGCCATAACTTGAACTTCGGTTTTGCCTCGGAATTTGGTGTTCATAATTTTCCATTAGTATTATAAACAATGAACTTACAGAAAATTCTTGAATACAATTTATGCAGAAGAGCTCAATTGGCACCATCTGGAGTCCCGCCAATGTCTGCTGCGTGCAGTTCTCAGATTACTCTAACCATCAACTGGTTTTTGGATCTGCTGATTACAAAATCTACGGCTATGATCTTCGCCACGTCAGAATTCCTTTGTTCTCCTTATCAGGTCATGGAAAAGCTGTTAGCTACGTAAAGTTTTTAGATGCAGACACACTTGTGTCTGCATCGACAGACAACACCCTAAAGCTTTGGAATCTCAAGAAAACCATCTCATCTGGGTTGTCTGGTGATGCTTGTAGCCTATCCTTTAAGGGTCATACCAATGAAAAGGTTGCCATACTAAACTCTACTTCAAATATTTATGAGAATACATGAAATGAATTTTAACACTCATCACTTACTTTTCTCAGAACTTTGTGGGATTATCTGTTTTGGATGGATATATAGTTTGCGGTTCAGAAACGAACGAGGTACATATGTCTAGTTCTCTTGTGAATACTTGCATATATTTGAGTTCCTAAAAATCGAAAATTCGATTCAAGTAAAATTCAATTGCATTATTAGAAATCAAAAAAGCATCCCTTCATCCTCTTCTCTGACATAATTTAACTATCTTGACATACAATTCAACAAACTTTTTTAAATTTCTATTAACTAAATTATTTCCACATAGTTATTCCCTAACCTTGTTTGAAGGCAACATACATATCCAATTTTGATTGAATCTGACATGAGAAGTGACATTTTTAAGGCACTGGAAATTTGAATGGTTACTTTTGTTATTAACTTTTTTGTTCTCTCTTTTTCTTGGTTCAGGTGTATAGTTATTATAGATCTCTACCAATGCCAATAACTTCACACAAGTTTAAAACCATTGATCCTGTTTCGGGTGATGAGGTTAGTGATGATGGTAGACAGTTTGTTTCAAGTGTCTGTTGGAGAAGAAAGTCTAAAATGGTGGTGGCTGCCAACTCTAGTGGAGTTCTGAAACTGCTTCAGATGGTGTAATGACAAGCTTCTTCTCTCCACTAAAACTATGTTTATCTTCTCTGCTTCTTCACAAGGCTTTCTCTTTTGCTTTCTTGGAATGGAAATATAAACTGGAAGCAAAGACCAATCACTCGGTTCAAATACTTGAGCAAAATAGCGACCTTTAATCGAGCACCTTGTGGTGATCATGGGATTTAACCTTTGGAATCCATTGATCTCACAAGATTAATCTGCGAACGAAGGCTGAACTGAGAAGAGAATTGTGAAGGAGGCGTCAAGTTTGATTCTTTAGCTCTCTATCTCGGCTTCTCTAGGCTTTTCGTGGGAAAAGATGGCAGTTGAAATTTCACAAACATTGGTTCAGTATCAAAGTTTAATCGATTTTTTATGATTCAATTTCACGACATCAATTTATATGTTCCGTGCAAGCCATTGCTTCACCAATGCACATATTCTAGTATAGAAAATCTAACTGCTTGTACCGTTACCTGATTAAGTTTGAGAAAGATTCTTGGCTGGATTTGTGAATTTATTTACGCCTATGAACTATTTTGAGGCAGAACTATAAAGAACTTCTATTTAGCACAAGCGATAGCACAATCTGCTCTTCTGGTTTATAAAAATATAGATAAATTGAGTGACCAGATATTAATGTGTTCACATGTATACATGAATAATCTGCCTCAAGTCTTGCATTTTCTCATTCACCCTGGAAGAGAAGTTCATTTCTGTATTTATATTTGGCCGTCACTTGTCACACAAAAAGAATGAATATCTTTATACAACAGTGGTTCTCTTCAGTAATGATGATAATTCGTATAGTTAGTCCGAGCTAAGCTATTCCTATCCTTTCTTGTCGTTTGAAATTTAGACTTGAGCCGATTCTTCTGGATTTTTGGATACATTGATTTGGTAAATCAAACGTCTAAGGGAGTTCTGAATCTGAGGCATGACCAGATGATGTTCTTTTTATTCTTGGACTTAACATCATTAGTTGGCTTTCTGAATTTCTCCTCATACTTCTCCCTGGAGGATTTATTTGTGGCGGCCGTACTGATCGTCCTTTTGGTGTGCCTGCAAGTCCAAAGACAAAATCTTGTTACTCACTAGCATAACAAAAGTCATCCATTCTAGTTCTCCAACCTTTTACTCTATAGAATGTCTCTAGTTTCTAAATTTTCACATCAGCTTTAAGAAACACAGGAACAAGGAAAATAGATGAATTTATCATTCTACAATACATGAGTTTCTGGTTTCTCTGGTTTCAAAGAGATTCTACTTATATTGTGAGTGAATGAGGTCACCACCGCACATTTTAAAATCTAATCAATCGCATATTCACACGTCAACTTGAGACTCATAACTGGTAAAAAAAAAAAAAAGAAGAGTAGAGATGATCAACACTGGTGATATTATCATTTTTGTTGCTTTAACAAAATTTACTAAGAATATCCAAAATGAAGAAATATGGAACTTAAAAGAGCAAGGCAAGGGACAAACTTGTTTTGTTGAATTTTACATCTGAAGACTTCTTAAACAATGAGAGTCTCTTGTTCATACTATCAGGTGAAGCTAGAGATTTCCTTTCTGGTGTTGATGGGAAAGCATCATCAATTGTGATCACATTTTCATCTCCACAGATTGAAGCCGCATCACTTCCAGATTCTTCGGAGTTATCTTTAAGGCTGGCACTTGTTTTCTCCTTCTCCAAAACTCTATAAACAAACATCTGAAATGGGATTTGTGACACTGATAGTGATTGCTCAGAACTACCCCAATAAGGAAAGCTCCTCAAAAGGCCTGACTCGATGTCACAATAATCCAGCAATGGTACTGGCGGGTCTGGCTGAGTATTATAGTCGGGATTCATTGCGATGAACTTTTTTATGTAGCGAAGAATCCTGCAGCTGGATGAGAAGCTCGGCCGCTGATTCGGGTCAGTATGCCAACATTTCTTTGTCAAATTCGTCACATATTTTGGTGCCTGAAAAGGGAACAATGGCCTCTCTCCTGCTCTTATATTTCTGCTCATTTTGTCCCCTTGGAGATGACCATCCTCAAAAGGGACTTTTCCAGTCAAAAGCTCAAAGCAAACCATCCCGAAACTGTAGACATCGGACTTTTCAGTGTACTTTGAGCTCTCAGCAGTTCCTTTCTGTTCTTGCTCCTCCAAAACCTCAGGAGCATACCAAATAAAAGGTAGAGTCCCATTTTGACTTGAAGAACTCTTTTGTGTAAAATTCCCTACAGAAGTCAATCCAAACCCCGAGACTTTTGCTTGCGACTGGCTCCCTTCTGTGGAGATACCATTTCCTCTTGCTCTAACAAGTATGTTAGAAGGATTCAAATCTCCATGGTAGATTTGCTTAGAGTGGAGATACTCCATTCCCCTGGCAATCTGAAGCATCAAATCTACCGCAACAGGAAGTGAAAACGGAACTCGCTTTCTTGGACCGCAAGTCTCTTTGATGTAGCTGAAAAGGTCTTTGCTCATCAGCTCCATAATAAGAAACCACTCTTTCTTTTCCTCATCAGCAAAACCACAAAGGAAGTTGACTATATTTGGATGGGAAAGAGACAAAAGTGAGGAAATCTCTGGCATTAGACGTTCAGCGTCGCCAAAGAAGTGTCTAGAAGCAAAGCTCTCACCCAACCAAAGAATCTCTTTATATTGACTTCCACTCCCTAATCTTCTTCTTACTTGGTAGTCTTTTGATCCCACTAGAATTGAACTAGGCAAGAGCTTCTTCCCATTAAAGGGCTCTAAAACATCAAAGCCTTTGAAGAGTTGATCGATCAGACGTTGCTCATTCTTCGTCAGTCCCCCAACTTTCTTTTCACTGATTTTGTTCACCAAATTCCACCTATCTTCTCTCCAAACCGACTCGAATCGATCGCAGAATTCCTGACTAACCAAATACTGCCTCCCGAATTTCCACCGGAAAAGTCTCCAATCACTATACTCTTTCTTGTATTTGCTTGAGTAAACACGTCTCCTCCTTTGCATCTCCTCCTGATCGCAACCAGAGATTTCTCCAACGCTTTCAATCGCTTCAACGATGATTGGGACGCAAGAAAGCAAGTTGTGGATGTGAAACTCGACGCAATCGGTGTTTTGGTAGAGAGAAATGGCCTTAGCCCACCACTCTTTGTTCTCCAAGGAGTGTTTAATATAGGCTTCTCCTTCTCTGAATATTCCATACAGATCTCTCAATGGCTGCTCAAGAATTTTCCACTTGGTGTTCTTCTCTTTGAATCTCAAACAATTTCTCATTTCCTCGGCTATTGAATCATAGGCAGAAGTGAAAATATCATATAACAAAAGGCATTGTCTTCGATTGATTTGAATGTCGTCGCGGAATACCAATAAGGCCTTTATACTTCCTAATACCTCTGCAATCTGACGAAATTGCTCCATTTATTAAAATTCAACTAGAAAAAAAAAAACCAACAAAAACAAATCTGAAACTTGATATGGGAAGCAAATGAAGACCCTTTAGAGAGAATGGATTTCTGCCAAAATTCTCAGTAATTCCGCAGAGAAATACAGAATCCGACAATCCCATTTCAGATTTCTTAGTTATGATTAAGGTAAAAAAAAAAAAAAAAAAACTTTCCCATGAAAAAAACATCATGCAATCAGAACCTGTACAAAAATTATTGTAAGAAAATGGTGGAAAAATTTTTCTTGGAAAAGTTTTTTCTTGTCTTTGATGGGAAGTTTTTCGATACAATTTTAGATGACCCAACACTTGTCAATTGGTGTTGGTAAATTTTGGAAAGAGTTGGTTAACGCTTCTAACGGATTTTCAATTTTCTTGCGTGCCTCACCGTTTTTCTTTTGTTTCAATTACATCTATACCCGTATATTTAGTCAATATTTCCTCCTTTTTTTTTAGGATATCAATATTTCGATTGCCTCTGTGCTTTATTCTTAAGCTATTCAAAATTTACAATTAATCCATGTTTAAGAAGAGAAAAAGAAAGTGACAATCTTAATCATTCTTCCTTAATCTCTTAATCTTTTTTTCCCCCTTAAAGAGAGTAATTTTGCATGAAATTAAAAGAAAAACTGGAATTTATTTTAAGCTTGAAATTTCAGGAGCTGAGTTCGGCAGCATAAAAAATATAAAAATAAAAATGAAAAAAAGGAAGAAGGAGCGGGTTTTTGGTAAAACAGCAGGTCGTTGACATTTGTGTTCTTCAAGCTCAGTAACGACATGTTCTTTTCCGTTTCTTGAGGAACAAAATGTCGTTTGTCTTTTTCCCCGTTCACTTAGCGACTTGTCATTTAATAACGAGACAAAACGACTGAAATATAGAGGAGATGTCTAGGGGTGTAAGTAGGCCGGATTGGCTCGGGTTGGGCCTGAAATTTGGGCCGAGCCGTCACATTCGGGGTGAGGAGAATTTGGGCCGCAACATCCTCCGTGAGACACAACGTCATAACCCTTCGGGTTACCTCAGGTAGGCTCAGTTTTGCGGGTTGGGCCTGTGGCCCTTGCCGGCAAACTTAGCTATTTTGAGTTATTTGCCGTTTTAAATTGGCTATGAGGAAAAAAAAATTTCCCAGATTTATAGAGCATTGGCTAATGGCTTCAGTGTGCGCTAGATCAATTTGTAGGCCATCCATTAACTTAATTTTTCTACTCTTATTCAAACTAGAAAACCAACCTCACACTCTCACAGTACCTTGGTGTGACGGCAGACTACCTTGGCAGAATCAGGGACAAGGTTGACGGCACGTGATTGTTTGAAATGGCGAGAGAGAGTCGGAGAAGAAGAAGAGGAACGGCAGAGACTTGGGGAGGAACTGAGAAGAAGAAGTGAGAAATTTATGAGAACGAATCAGTCTCAGACGCAGAGACTTGGGGTGAGCGACGGCAAATGATCGAGAGAAAAAACGAAGAAGTCTTGAGCTGTATGGCTTTTTTACATAAGAGGTAAAAATTCATGCGGCCGGGTCGGGGGTAAACAGGTTAAATGGACCCTGGCCAGCAACCCTACATGCACATTGCAGGTTGGGAAAATTGGAAACCAAAAAAAAAAAAAAAGAAAAACCTGATAATTTCATGTCGGGTAGGCCGGATTATTCAGGTTCAGGGTAATTTCTTACACCCCTAGAGATGTCCTTGCTATATCTGACAAATGACGTAGGTTAATGTCGGGTAAGAGAAATAAACGATATGTCGTATCATGCTATCCATAATTATGTGATGTTGACTATGAAAATCCGCAAACCTTGTTAGGAAAATTTGCCTATAAACCTAAGCAAATAAAAGATAACGAAAAATTATGAATGAAAAATAAAAGTAAAATTCACACCACGAATTTTATATAGCTTTACCAATTTAGCTACATTATGTTTCTGTCGTTGCAAATTTCACTATAGTGTTAAAGAAATTCATTACAGAGAAATCACTCAATCTCACTTTATCTTTCTCTCACACTCAAAAGATGCTTCCTAACCTCACACTCCAATTTTGTTTTAGAAAATTCTTGGTTAATAAACCCTAGAAGATTAGGTATTTATATTGTATAGGAAAAGCCCTCAAACTCAAAACCGCCTTTGATTTGACTTGGCTGCGCCCCTGCAGTGCCATGACGCCATGTTTGTTGCCTTCTGATGTCGCGGCGCCTACTGACTGAGGCTGCGGCACTACACCGATTTATTCTTATTTTTTCTTGCTCTTCCTTGCTTCCAAACGTGATTAGGCTCCACAATCTTCAACAAACCTTGCAATAAAGTTTCCAGAATAGATCAACGAACAACAACCACACAAAATGCAAATTAAAGTTGAAAAAAAAAAACTAGAAGAATGCAAGCACCAAAGTTTAAAGTGGTTCGGCAATCAAACGCCTACATTAATTTTGATTGTTATCTTTGATTGATTATCTCGAATTACATACAAACTCTCTATTGAAACAAAAAATACAGTGAATAAAAAATAGTAAAATAGACATACATGGTCACGTGAGAAGTTAGATAACTTCCTGGAAGAAGTGGATGCATGTGCAAAGATAAAAATGTGTTAGTGTGAAGTCTGATGAAAAATAATGTGGAAAAGTTTACAAAATTATTATGTGGAAGTTATCTTCCACATCAGTGATCCACGTTGTTGTAAAAAATGAACTAATCACAATGAAAGTGGATGATATATATATATATATATATACATATA